CATACTGCATATTTGTATTGAATTTAGGAGCTGCAACCCTCCATTCCCAATACTTACGTACTTACAATTACATTATAATCTTCATATTTATTATGAATGTTAAATCTAATTTGTTTATGTTCTTCTTGAGAACCTAGAAGTTAAAAACAATGCACACATTATATTAATTGTATATTTTAATTTTAAAGAGATTCCCAAAGTTAAAAGCAAAATGATGTAGTGTTACCATAGTAACAGAGCACATTTAAAGTAGCGCACCATAAATTAACTTCCTTTAGCCAGTTATCTAGGAGACAAAAGAGATTATTTGCATCTGTTACAACAGGGTATGTTCACGAAGTCAAAAACTGCATTTTAATATTCTTCTATAAATATGAATTACACATTGATTTTGCTTTTATAACATGCACCTCAAATAGGATTCCTTATGATTAAAGTTAGCTTCAAGATCTGAAGGGTATCAAAATGATGGACAAAGGGCAAAGGGCCAACTATTATGATTATTGACTTTCCATTTCAGGAGACTTCTTTTTACATTTATATGCACAGGTATTTTTCTTAGTCCGACTTCTAAATCAAATTGAGAAAGAATGGAACAGTAACACAGCAATTTGAAGAGGGATTATCTACATACTTTTTGATCAACTAAATATAAAGTTAAAATTACTTGTTTTCTCTTACTTTTAAAAATAATTTTCAAGTACTATGCAACCAAAATAAGTGATCTTATCAGGTTCTTGAGGTATAAGGTTATCTGAATCACTGAATTATATTTATTTTCCCAAAAAAGATTACCAATACAACCAAGCATAAATATGTACATATACAAACAGAAAAATACGGGGACAATGAAAATTAATATTCACACACACACACACACATTCTACTATATAAAACACCATGAAGTCAAAGACAGTTTTCTCCAGTATTACAAACCTATAGTTGAAGCTGGGACAACGATCAGGTGAGGACCTTTATTTCCCTCCTGGTAGAGGTATGCCAGGAATGCAATGGCTTGAATAGTTTTGCCTAGGCCCTAAAATTAAAAGTTCAAAAGAGAATATATAAAATTTAAAAATAAGAAGTAATTTTTAAAAGTACGAAAAGAATTATTTGTGCTATATTCATTTTTTATTTCCCATAATTCAACTCAGAATTTCTACTATATTTATAGTTCTCCAATGACAAATGGAATGATTCCAATCTACAAATGTTGCTATAACGTACTTTAGTGAGCAGACTGATGGATCTTAACTGCTGGTTCATACATAGCACACATTAATAGAGAGGAACTTTTTTTTTAAATAAAAGGAAAATATTAACAGACAGACAACATTTTACAAAATAGCAAAGGAACAGTACAGACAGAGTTACAAACAAAGTGGTAGGGAGTTAACAATGCTTGTTGTATTATATATTGATATCTTCAAAGTGGTTTCTCATGAAAACAGATATAGACATGCGATGTTTATCAACCAAGGACTCATTGACAGTTTCTTTCAGCAAAGAAATACAAGACAGTAGAACAGCCATGTTGACTATCCTGCATATACAGACATACAAACTTTCTCCTTCTTTCCCTTCTTCAGAGAGCCTGCTCGCCCAGCCCCCAGCTAGAGAAGTCCCCTGGGCCTCTCAGTCCAGACCTCCTCTCTGCTGCCACAGTGACTCAGTCTGTAATGTCCGCAGGGTCCTTGTTCACACGTTCTGCCCTCAGGAATTAGATGGGAAATACTTGGCTCTCTCCACGTGTTTCAGCGGGGAATCCTGGTGGTGTGGGTTGAGCACAGACTCGAATCCACGAGCCCTGCAGCTCCCGGAGTATTCACTGTCTCAGCATAGGGCGTGCGGAGCTCAGGGAGTCTGCTCGGCCGGCTCAGAGAGCCTGCTCGCCCCACCCACTAGAGGAACTTTTGTACTGCATAGAAAAAACATTTTTGCTTACTGCTTATAAATGACAAACATTTAATGCACATAGAGGGAACTGAGCAGTCTGACCTATAACTCCCCAGAGTTAAACATATGCCTATTCTATTACATTGCAATTCCATTCTTAAGAATAAACTATGGTATATTTATAGTGTGGACTATCAAATATGGGTGTCCCAAGCCTGAATAAACATTGAAGCAGTGGTGTACAGTACAACTGGGGTTTAGAAAAGGGCCACTGAGAAGGAAATGAAATAAGGTAACAGGGTGGTACCCTAACCCAGTATGACTGGTATGCTGATAAGAACGAAAACACCAGGGATGGGCACAAACAGAAAATGGCACTTGAGGACATGGGAACAGCATGTCTGCCTACAGGCCAAGGGAGGCCTCATGAGAAACCAAAACACCTAGTATCTTGATCTTGGAATTCCAGCACCTAGAACTATGAAAAAATAAATTTCTGCTCTTTCACTATTCAATCTGATATTTTTGTTATTGCAACCTTGACTAATACAACTTAAAAACCATGTACTTTAAGGTAGGCATAGTGATCCCTGCTG